GACCCAAATACTTACGATGACTTAATGAGCACCTGCTCTTGCACACCTCGCACTGCCTTTTTGTAGAGTTCTCCTTTTTAAATGTTTATTTACTTATTTTGAGAAGGAAAGAGCGTGGGAGGGGCAGAGGGAGACAGAGAGAGAGAGGGAATCCCAAGTAGGCTGGGTACTCAGCACAGAGCCCAATGCAGGGCTGGGTCCCACGACCGCGAGATCACGACCCGAGATGAAATCAGGAGTCAGACACTTAACTGGCTGAGCCACCCTGGTGCCCCAAGGCCTAGCTTCTGAGTTGTGGTGTAGGTATTATTACTCACAGTTTTATGTGGTTAGAGGCTGTATAAGTCACAGGATTTTTGTCAGTGTCAGAAACCAGAGTAGCATCCCCCAAATGGACTCCAAATCCCTTGTTTATTCTCTACATGCTACTATTTCCCTCTTACTGCCGGACTTCTTGATCCGGAAACGTCGCAGGTATCAGGATTTTCTTGTGTGGCACGCCTTCCTGCGTCTGTTCACGTGACCAATAAGGTAAAGACCTTGGGCAGACGACCTTGGAGTAAAGCCCTGTGAGAACTCTAGGGATAGAGCCATTATAATATTTTTCTGACAATAACGTCAGTGACAGGAAATACGTGTTTTTGTTGATTCAGGCTCCAGGATCTTCAGAGTGTGTGGTAAGGCAGGTCTGAAATCGTATTTAAGATACCTCAGCCAATTCTACAAAATGAGCAGACGACAGTAATAAACATTTGCTAGGGGCACCTGGGTCCGTGAAGCCTTCGGCTTCATGATCTCAGATTGGTGAGCTCGAGCGCCAGCTTCGGGTTCTGTGTCTCCCTCTCTCTGACCCTCCCCTGCCTGCATGTGGGCGCTCTTGCTCTCTCTCAAAAAACATAAACATTAAAAAAATAAATATTGCTAAAATATTGCCTGACCTACTATTATTTACTTCCCAACCATCACAGTCTCTGTGTGTTATGACCATGACTTACACTAATCAAAATTTGCAGGGAAAGAACTTACACAGCATCCAAGCTTTAGGGGCACTTAATGTTTCGATTAGTTATGACAATTAGCTACGTTGCTGTATTCTGTAAGCCAAGGGAGTGGGGCCAGAGATCTCCGAGATGTCTGGCAGTTCTAAACTTCGCCCTTACATTACTTCTCCGAGTGAGAGATTTTGGGAGAGAGGGGCACCTGGGTTCCCTGTGAGGCCCCTGCACCAGGTGACGGGCTCCAGCTGTCATTTCCGTTTCTTTGTGTTCTTGTCAAAGACCCCTCTGTCGCACGTTCCTCCCTTCAGTGGGCATTACAACAGTAGCGCGTTTTCTTCTGAAACGAGGAACCGGGGCGGCTGGGGACAGCCCAGCAGCGCACGGAGACCTTGCTGCCCAGGCGGACTCCCACCGCACGTGCACCCACGTGTGCGGAGGCCCGAGGGCCGGGACGCGCGCTCCCTTCCCGGGCGGGGGCGGAAGGTGAGCTCCCTCCCGGAGCGCCCCTCCCCGGCTCTGAAAGTCCCTGGGAGCCCCGGGAAGCCTGCGTTCCCCAGAGCCCAAGCCTTGGCGGGTCTGAGGGCAGCTGACCTTCTCAGGAGCCAGGACCGCCCTCAGGCCGGACTGGTACTGGGGGAAGGGGCGGGGCTGGGGGGGCGGGGTGGTCTGCGGCCGGGGGTCCTGCCCCCGCCCCCGCCCCCGCCCCGCGTGCGCAGCCCAAGAGTCCTTGGGAAGTGCCAGTGTCCGGGAGGGGTCTGCCCCCGCCCACGCGTGCACAGTGTAAGGGTCCTCGGGAAGGGCAGGTGTCTCAGGGGGGCGTCCCCATGCCCCACACCCACGCGTGCACAGTCCAACGGTGCCCGGGAAGGGCAGCGGCTGTGGGGGGCCTCCCCATGCCCCACACCCACGCGTGCACAGTCCAACGGTGCCCGGGAAGGGCGGGTGTCTTGGGGAATCCTGCCCCCGCCCACGCGTGCGCAGCCGGCCGGGACGTTTGGCCTAGGAGGGGCGGCGGGCAGCCACGTGGCCCCGCAGGAATGCGCGGGCGTGTGGGCGGAGCGCGGCTGAGGACGAGCAGGCGCATAATCCAATGGGCGCCCGGCGCCGTCGGAGCCGGCCAATCAGGATGTGGGGGTGGAGCTGCCTCCCTGTGGGCGGGGCCGGGGCGCATCCCGGGCCGCGGCAGCGGGGCAGGGTGAGGGGCGCTCGGAGGGACGGCGGGCGGGGGTCCCGCCTGGGTGAGTGCAAGCTGAGGGGCCAGGGTCCTTGGGGGGGGGAGTTCGGGCGGGGAGGTGGGGATCCCTGGGGGATGGTGCGGGCCCAGGGCAGGCTCCGGGGTCGGGGGCCGGGGGCAGGGATGACTGCACAGCGAGTCGGAGGTCCTGGCGGGGAGGCGGCGGTTCCGGCGCGCAGGGTGTGAGCCCGGGGTTAGGAGGCCAGAGTCCTTGAAGGGCGCGTCCAGCGGGTTAACCGCGGGGACTCGGACGAGTTTTCTTTTTCCTCTGAAAGTCTCTCTTCTGCCCAGTTTTCTCTAAACTCGCTAAATCCCACGGATCCGTGAACTCTAGGCCGCCCACCTACCCGAGCTTTGACGGGTGGGCGCAGACTGCCCCGGGGAGGGAGCCCCGTAAGGGGCCGCAGGCAGCCCCCAGCCTCGGCGGGGTGCCCCTGTGCCCTCACCCCAGCGCACAGCGCGGGTGATGGACCGCGGGCAGCACCAGCCTTAATGGGGTGCCCTGTGTCTCCTCTGAGCACGGACATCGTATGCACCTCCCCCAACTTCAGAAGGGTGTCCCCTGCGCCCTTGAGCGCCCACAGTGCAGGTGATGACCCAGTGGGGTGTCCCCTGTCCCCTGGCAGAGACAGTACAGCTCCTGGGTACAGCTCCTGGGTAAGGGGGCCCGTGGGCAGCCCCCAACTTCAGGGTGTCACCTGTCGCTCCTGGGTACAGACAGTGCAGGTGACAGTCCATGAGCGGCGGCCAAGTTCAGTGGAATTTCTCCTGTTCCCCCAGGCACAGATGTGGAGACAGTAAGCCCATGAGCAGCACCCCCCTGGCTTCGCGGGGTGCCCGGGGGCCCCCCAGGACAGTGGTAATGGGCTGTCCGCATTGTGCGGGAGGGTCTTGGAGGCCTGGAGGAAACCAGACCCCACTCAAGTCACGTCGGGAGTTGAGGTGTTCATTTGGAACAGTAATTTCCCTTTTCCTGTGGAGGCAAAGTCATTGATCTGCTTTCGAATGAAGAGAATTACTATTTGAAAACAAGTGTGAGTCCCCCTTCTCTCAGAAATGGAAGCAGGGGTGAGGGCACAGGTCAGGAGGTACCTCCTCACCCCCACCTGGCAACACTTCGTGCTCTGTGAGACCCTCCGTTTTGAGCGTAAACATCTGGGTTGATGACACGCCCGTGTTCAGAGAAAGCGCAGGTAGACTTGGCTCAGTGTGACTCTCACGTCAGTGACTCACCTCTGCTAGAGGTAAACGTTCCCGTTAACTCAAAACCTCATGGGCTGTTATCTCTTCTCTGGTTGAGCCACAAAGTAAAGCTTAAGTAGCTGTCGCTGTTCTGCGTTTGGATCCTTAGCATCGCCCCTGCAATGTGCTTGCTGTGCATTTATTGCTTCCTAAATATATTTTGAACGTCTGTTTCATAGGAAATAACTTTTATTAGAAAGGAAAGATAAGATTTAGTGTTTGAATTTTTGATATGTAATTTGCTCCTTAACTAACAGCGTTTATTTGACTGGCCGTAGCGTATGGCTGAGTGGCCAACATCCACAGTTAGCAACAGAGTCCTTTTGTCGTCAGATACAGAATTTCCTGATTCCTTGTCATTTATCTAAGGTGCTGCTTCATAACTGATTGATCTTTCCAGCAAGGGTGATAGTTAGGGAAGAGGGAAATTCAGAGTTATTCAAAATAGCTTTTTACTTTTAAAAATGGGGATTTTTGGGGGCGCCTGGGTGGCTTAGTCGGTTAAGCGTCCGACTTTTGCTTCGGTCATGATCTCGCAGTTCGTGGGTTCGAGCCCCGCGTCGGGCTCTGTGCTGACTGCCAGCTCAGAGCCTGGAGCCTATTTCAGAGTCTGTGACTCCCTCTCTCTCTGACCCTCCCCTGCTCACGCTGTCTCTCTCTCTCTCCTAGAAATAAATAAAATTTAAAAAAATTTTTTAAAAAATAAAAATGGGGATTTTTTAGTATTCTTGACAGAGAGAGACAGAGACAGAGAGAAATAGAGCGTGAGCAGGGAAGGGGCAGAGAGAGAGGGAGACACAGAATCCGAAGCAGCTCCAGGCTCTGAGCTGTCACCACAGAGCCCGATGTGGGGCTCAAACCCATGAACCACGGGATCATGACCTGAGCTGAAGTCCAAGAGTTAACCCACTGACCCCCCCCAGGCGCCCCACTTTTTGTCTTTTAAAAGGTGAGGATGACTTTCTAGTTGTACTGAATTTATCATCTTGGTATTTTGTCGTGCTGCGTTTTCGATGTAGTTTCTTTGCAGTGAAGTTAGGAGGAAGGTCTTTGGGAATTCTGCACAGAGCAGGCTGGTGGCATCGAGGGACTGGGTGTCAGGAGCCCTGGGCTGGGTCCTGGCACCGTTCACCTGACCCGGGTTAAGTGGGGTCATCCCAGAGATTCAGGTTTACTCCCTGTGTAATTGCTGGAACATAGTTTCTATGGAAAGGCTTTTTACGCAGAAAACGTTCTGCTTGACGAAGAGCAAAACGTAAACGAGGTGACTTTGGCCGTATTGTTCTGTAAATCATAGTTTTAAAAACCCGTGTTGTATGATGTCAGTTTATCGCACAGGGTGTGGTAGGAAGGTCCCCGGGCGTGTCCACATTCAGTCGTGCCTGACTCGTGGTCTGCACGGGGAGGAAGGGGAGTGGAGAGAGAGACAGAAAGGAAGAGTCGGCGGCAAACTTCCGTCAGGCGGGGGTGGCCTCTCTGCGAAGCCTTCCGCAGGCACCGGTGCCGGGAGGGCCGGGGGTCCTGGAGCCGTGCGGTGGAGACGGAGCTTCAGGCCTGGGTGAATCTGACCCGGGTCCCAGATGAGACCTGAGTGCATCCGTGGGAGGCAGTGGGCAGGGCCTCGCCTCCCCTGCGAGGCCGCGGCTGTGAGCGGCCCTGGAGGACAGCAGGTGACGACCCGGGGACCTCCTCCGCCCCCGGCCGCCCCCTTCTCAGACCTGGCTGCCCTCCGGCTGGTTGTCGCTGCCTCACCTGCCTGTTGGTGAGTTTTCAAGGCTTTGATCGTGGACAGGAGTCGTTGTCAGAGCATCTGTTGCTGCTTTTCCTCCTGCTTTTCTTTAAATCCCTGAGGTGATGAGTACCCGCGAGTGCAGGGCTGCGTGCGTGTGTTTGTTTCATATTTTCATGTGGACAAGATTTTTTGAATTATTAAATCCTTTTCAGTGGCAATGTTGTTCTCTCCCACGGCCCGCCTTCCAGTATTCAAGACTCAGCTCAGACGGTGCGTGGCGGCCTTGGTGACGGGGAGGCGCGGAGAAGTGCGCTGCGTTGTGTGGGGGCTGGGGGTGCCCTGCACGCCCGGAGGGAATCGAGCAGCTCTTAGCCGTCCCAGGGGCCCCGAAGGGGCTGCTTACCCCTGGCCCGTCCTGGGCTCCCGACGCTTGCCCCGTGGCCGCTCCCTTCTGCACTGGAGGGTCCGGGAGGAAGGCTGGGGAATGGGGAGGGTGCCGGGGGATTCCGTGTGTGCCGGCCTTGAGGAGCCCAGGGTCTTGCAGCGGGGGGTGTGCCGGGGTCCCTGAGGGGGCGTGGGCTGAGGATGTGTCTTCGTGGCCACGCAGTTTGATTATGGAGACCTAGACCCTTACGTGACAGTGCCATTATTATCGTTATTATTTTAAGAAAGCAGCATAGACATTTGCTCTGAGATACAAATGTTGCAAGAAAGTTACAAAGTCAGACTTCATGTGACTTAGGAACTTCTGGCTTCTCTCCTTAGTGTGGGTCATTAAGAGCTGCCCGTGGGACGGGCTTCTGGGCGGCTCAGTCGGTTAAGTGTCCAAGTTTAGCTCAGGTCATGATTTTGCAGTTGGTGAGTTCAAGCCCCGCGTCGGGCTCTGTGCTGACAGCTCGGAGCCTGGAGCCTGCTGCTGATTCTGTGTGTGTCTCTCTCTCTCTCTCTCTCTCTCTCTGCCCCTCCCCTGCTCATGCTCTGTCTCTGTCTCTTTCTCTCTCAAAACGAATAAACATTAAAAAAAAAAGGGCTGCCCCTTTGAGAAAGGCCAAGGTGTTTCATTTTGATCAAAGCCTGCTGTGTACACTGAGTGTTTTATTCTGTTGTTCGACGTGTTTCTCTGAGTGGAGAATAGAGCAGTGACTTGAGCTTGGCTTCTGACCCCAGGGAGTGGGAGACGGACCTGGAAGCGGCGCTCATGTCGACGTGGTGCCCAGGGCCCGCGAGCGACGGGCTGACGCCAGGGCTCCGAAGGGCTGTGTTCCGGAGGGGTGGCGTCCCAGTGTCTGGCATGGCCTGTCACTCGGCGGCTCTGCCTTCTTCCCAGCAGCTGGGAAAGTGGCTTGAACCCCAAGGGCTCTCGCTGGGCAGTCTGGATGGGAGGCGTGCGCAGGCCAGTGTAGACACAGCCCCGGGAGCCCCCGAGGCCAGAGGAGGAGTGCTGAGCTCCAGCGGAAAGAATCTCGCGTGTCTTTTCCTCACTTGTGCCAGCAGGTCTGGGCCTGCAGGCCAGTTGCGGCCCCAGAAACGGGGCCTGGGCCCCCCCCCGCCCCCCGCCGGCCAGCCTGGGCTGCAGCAGTGATGAGACGCTCTCAAGGCCTGACTCGGCGGGGGGTGGGGGTGCTCCCACCCAGCGTGCCCCCTGGGAGCTGCGGGAGTGTCCTGATGTCGTGTGCGTGGTTCGGGGAGTCCGGCCGGCATGAGCAGTTCTGACCGGGCCACGCCGTGGAGTCCTCTCCGCCGGCTGCTGTCCCGTGCCGTGTGCTGCAGGGGTCACTCGTGTGCGGCCGAGATCCGCGCTCCTGCTTCAGGGGCCGGCGGCCTCCGCGAGGGCCGAGCCCCGGGCCTGATGTGCAAGAGCGAGGCGGGGCCCGGGCGGCCCGCCGTGCATCCCGCACACTGTGCGACAGGCCCCGTCCTCTGCGATTCACCAGGAGTCAGCGACAGGCGCCCCACTCTGCCCGCCACAGGGGCGTGCGGGGAGCAGGTCACAGGTGGCGGGAGCAGTGAGGAGGGAGGCCGGGCAGAGGGAGATGTGCACCCGGCTGGGGCCTTGCTCAGGGATCGGGCTGAGGACCGTGGGGAAGGAGGGACGTGTGCGTGCTTACCCGTAACCCTGGAGGCTGTGGCTTCCTACGCGGGGCGTCCGGTCGGGGCACAGTGTGTGAGCACACCTGCCTGGGGAGCCTGCTCGCTCGCTCCGGGCCGGGCCCCAGACACCTTTCCCCGGGGCTGTGGACCAGGAATTGAATGGGTTCGGCTATTCAGCCGACATCGTAGGCCTCGGTTTCTCCCTTGATGAAATGGACTAGAATCTATAATAAATGCTCTGAAAAAATGAAGGTGGAGACGGGGCTGGGGGTGTGCGGGTGAGGAGTGGGTAGGGCCGCCAGGAGGGCAATACTTGAGTAAAGATCCAAAGAAGGTGAGCGATAAGGCAGCACGACCTTTCAAATTTATATTAATGTTTTTTATTTATTTCTGAGAGAGAGAGTGAGCAGGGGAGGGGCAGAGAGAGAGGGAGACACAGTCTCAGGCTCCAGGCTCTGAGCTGTCAGCACAGAGCCCGACACGGGGCTCGAACCCACGAACGGTGAGATCATGACCTGAGCTGAAGTCGGACGCTCAACCGACTGAGCCACCAGGCGCCCCACGACCTTTCTAAGCAGAAGGGAAAGGATGTGCAAAGGGCCTGAGGCAGGAGCATACTGGGCATGTCCAGGAGCAGCATGATGGCCCGTGGCTGCAGAAGACAGTGGTAGGACTTGGCCTCTGGGAGGTGACAGAGGGTGACAGAAAGCCGTTGCAGGGATGTGACCACATGTGACCCCTGTTTAAGTGGGACATCCTGGCTGCAGCCTTGAGAACAGATTACAGAGCACTGAAGATGGCAAAGGGAGGTCAATTGAGAGGCTTTTCCAGTAACTCGGGCAAGAGACCGGAGCCGGCGTGGTCCAGACAGGTGGCCTTGGAGGCAGTGGTTGGTCATGTTCCGGAAACGATTTGAGATGGAGGTCCCCAGATTTTCTGACGGGCTAGATACTGGGAATGGGAGAAAGAGGAGGGATCGGGGCAGCTCCCAGCCGCTGTGGTTTCGTCCGAGGGGAAGGAGGAGGTTTCTGGGGGAAGGAGATGCTCGGAGCCCAGGGTGCTGAGCCGGGCGCCTCGCGCCCCGGAGACCACGATGTCTCCGTCTGGGAGGACGCGGTCTCTGCCCCCTTAGCGAGTTCCAGATGCGAGCGTCTCCCACTTTCTGAAAGTTCACGTTGAGCCAGTGGCTTCTCTGAAAGATGTGCTTTATGTCCTGGCTTCCGTCACCAAAAGAGCCTAAGGAGGACTTCACGTCTGTGAAAACAGCCCAGAGGCGCCCTCCAGCCGTGGGGGGCGCAGCCGGCCCCTCCCGGGGCTCCGGGGGGCAGCGCCCGGCCGCGGCAGCGCCTTCTCTGCGTTCATTTCGGGCCCCGTGAGCCGTGTGTGTCCCTGCGGCCGGAGACAAGCCCGAGAGAGTCATGTTTGGGGTCTGTGCGCGGCCACGGACTTCTCCGGATAGATAATGGGGGGTAAGTCCTGTCTCCGCTCTGAGGGCCTTCACGGGAACACTGTACCTTCCACAGCGGGGACCCTCACGTCTCCCAGCCCCCCCCCCCCCCGAGTCTGCACTGACGAGCTGGTTTTTAGTCTGCGGAAGGTGAGGTCACACAATACGTGTCCTGTTGCTGCCAGCATGGCGCGGCCAGCCCGTCCATGTGGCAAAGCCCTGCAGTGGACGGGCAGGGGAGGGGCGGGTCCCCCGGAGGGTGAAGCTGTCTCTCCCTCTGTTGGGGGGCTCCCTCCCCTCACGCGGCCATGCTCTGTCTTCCTCCCGGAAGCACTCTCCTGTCCGCACCCCTGCACTCCTTCCGTCTACCCTGGCAGAGCCCTAGCCGGCTCTCCTTCGCACCCCTGCCCCAGGCCTGCCGTGTGGCCACAGTGGTTGCGCCGTCCAGACACCTTCATCTTCGTCTTCCCAGGTCCACGGTGTGTCTCCGCCAGTGTTGGGTGTGTGGGCACCCCAGCACCCCGGGGCCCGCGTCCTGGAGGGTGGAGCAGGTGCACAGCCCGCACCCCCCAGGCCGAACCGCTGCGCCTCGGCGTGTGAGCAGAGGGGCTCCCTGTGCTCCGGGGCGGGCGATGCGCTTCTCCCGGGTCCCACGGACGTAATCGCACGCCGGCGCCCTGCCCCGCAGGAGCGGAGCCCCGGGCGGGAGGTGGGCCTGTGGGGAGCGCAGGGTCCCAGGTGACTTCCATTCCGACCCATGTCCTGGTCTCTGGGGATGGTTCTTAGAGTCGGAACTCACTTTACGCCTGAAACTCCGGGCACGTGGGCCGTCATGGCGGGGTGTGGGGCTTCACCCGGGGCTCGTCGCGAGCTGACCCTTTCCTGGGACGCTCTGTCCCTGTCCTTGGGCTGGTCACAGTGTGGCAGGGGCAAGTCCAGGGCGGCCTGGAGGCGCTGCGCCCGCCCCAGGGTAAGTCAGAGACAGCAGCGCACTCACCGGTCGGCATGTGGGGGCGCGGGGGTTGGCCCTGGGAACACAGGCTGGTCTAGCGCTGTTCCCTCCATCAGTAACTTTCTGCTATTTTGTTTTCTGAGTGTGTTATTTAATGAAAACATTTCTCAAAAAGCTCACCTGGTAAAGATAGATTTAACTCCCTCCCTGGTGAGTGTCCACCGTATGCAGCACTTGTAACTTTGTGGAGGTGAAGTTGAGGTTTAGGGAAAGGTCTGGAATGTTCTGACCCTGACGACCCATGTTTGTGCCCTCATCGTGGGCCTGCCTCCTCTCGAGCTCCCAGGGCCTGCTGTGTGGTGGTGAGGCCTCTGCCCTTGTGAGTCCCTTTGATAAACTGATGGTCAGAGGCCGGGAGGACAGCCGTGTCCCTGACCCCGTCGGCCGTGTGGACCTCACCCCCGGGGGTAGGGGATCCCCCACAGCCGCCCGGAGCTGCTGGGCCCCCTCTCCTCCTCTGCCTCCCTTCCCTCCTCCCTC